GGGAGGTCACAGGAGGAGCCCCTGAGTCCAATCTCCTCTGTCTTCCCTCAGGCCACCCTCCTGGGGAGCTGCAGCACAGAAGGTCAGGGGTGAGTGTTCCACTCCCACTGGCCCCAGCAGGGGTGAAACCCTGATTCCACTGCTCTGTGCTCTGACACCTTCCTGGGGACAGTGAGGTATTGGCTGTCACCTGCTGATTCCCTTCAAGCAGGGTGACAGACACACCCACTGCTGGTCCCTGCTGACCTCACGGAGAGAAGCACAGGGCTGAGGCGAGTTTCTGTGTTCACTCCCCACTAGACACTTTGGGCCTGGTGACACCAAGGAAGGGAGGGGACACCTACAGTGCTAACTCTTCTCCCCCATCTCATCCAGTAACCTTTATTCAGTGCTGTTAATGCTGGTGGGGTTCTATACTGTGCTCTCCATGGTTCCCACACTCACCATCAGGGGCCGCAAGGGAGCAGACTAGCTTTTCCTTGGGCCATTTCATTCAGTCTCAAGGCTGACTGATGAAGTTCAAGTTCAGCTCACCCCTGAGTAGCTAGAATCATGGGTGAGAATTTTTTGTCTGGTTAGAGTAACAGGAAAACGTGGTCTCGCAAAGTATGTTGGGGAATGTTTCTTTCTCCTCTGTTTTCTTTCAAACTGTGTGTTCGATATTATTTCCCACTTAAACTGTTTACTAAAATTTAAAAAAAAGTCTACCTGAGGCCAGATTTGTGTTTTTGAGCTTTGAAATGACAGTGATAAAGAACTTTAAAGAGCTGTCACAGAAGACAGGAAAGTAGACAGAACTCATCTCTCAGTCAGACTCACAGCAGAAACACAGGGCACGTCGTCACTCACTTGTGATTCTACAGCCAGTATCGAGATGACTGCAGATTCAAAATAGACTGCACATTATTTATAGAACAATTAGTCCAATGATTTTGATTAAGGTGATGTATTCTGAAATATAAATAGGAGAAGCTTTCAAATCTAATTTACATTATCGTGTGAATCATTTCTCCAGTGTGGCCATGACAGACGACATAGTGTTTCCTAACACTCCCAGGTCTCTGGGTCCCTGCTTGGGAGCCGAGGCCCCAGGAAAGTCAGGTCACAGGTGTGGGAACCCTGTTTTTGTTGTCATGCCACCAGAACTCCGAAACCGGATACACAGTGATCCTGTTTGTATTAGGAAACCACGTAGCAAATGGGACATTTATGTTGAGCCCACAAAGACAGACAGGGGGGAGATCGTGAGGTCTCTGGGTTGACAGCACAAGTGATAACAGAAGCCAAAACCTGAACCAGTGTTGGTCACAGTCGGGGACAGGACAGTGACGAGTCACCAGAGAGGGGAGGGCAAATGTTCGCTTCACCTCCATGTGGCATGGAAGCTCTTTGTGGCTGGGGGTTATGAAGGCCTGTGACTGTGCTAATCAGCCTCCTCATCAGGCTGGTTCTCAAAGGTGGTCAAAGAGGCCTTGAGCACCAAGTAGGAGCTGGTGAAAAGGGATGACTCTCAGGGACCATTGTCCGAGATATTATATTATTGTTATACGTAACTATACCAATCATGATAGCCAGTGCTCCCCCTCAAACAAACAAATATGTCTGATAAAAAAAGTTACTTTGATAACGTAAATCATAGGGGCTAAAATCCCCTTATTTCTATAAGAGTTGAACCTACACTTAAGAATTCAAAAATCTTCATGCTACCCACTACACCCAATCCTAAATAAGGTAAACTAAATAAGCTATCAGACCCATACTCCAAAAATGTTGGTTTATGTCCTTCACCATATCTGACCTCAGATTCTGGGCCCAATACCATGGCAACACTCAATGTGTGTGCCGACATATGTTCAGGAGAAGGTCATGTCAATCTGGGCTCATCAAAAGCCCCACAGGGGGTGTGACACATGAACAGGGGGAGCGCCCGCTCCTGCTGTCCCACGGCCCAGCCCCCATCCCAGACTGTTGACACACTCCAGTGGGATACGAGAGGACAGGGGGACACAGTGCCTGTGGGCTCAGGAAACCCCACTCACCAGCGTCCCCATGGCCCTGAGTGGTGGCAGCTGTGAGAGCATCTCATCCATGGACCCATTTCACCCACGTGCCTGGAGCAGGCTCAGCATTTACCCAGCAATAGCAGTTTTCTTACTCTGTGGGCCCTGGAGGAGGTGGTTCTGCTGCTTCAGTGATGCAGGGGCTGCAGTGCAGTGAGCATATTGTACATAATACTCAGACCCCAAGCAAATGTCAAGATGGAGCTTTCTCACTGAAGAGGAGTAGCTCAGGAGGAAGGATCCACCCGCATCTAGGCAAGACCCTTCAGAGTAGAGGATTCAGCACTTGGCAGATGGGGCCCTGCTGCAAGCTGCATCTCAGAGGCAGGAAAAGGACAAGCAGGGGCAGGGGAGGTGGTGACAACAAGGTTACTCTGTTAGGGCCCAGGATATCAAGTACCATCTCCAAAAGACCCACTCTTCCTAGAATTCTGTAAGCCCCTTCATGGGGGCGAGCACCAGAATAGAGGCTGAACCTCATGGTACCCACTGCCGTTTGTGCAGCTTATGGGACTCTGGGGACTGATAGAGGACACAGTCTTTATGTTTCTGTCTACACGGAGACGGTTTCTTCACAGTTTCCCTCTCAGTTTCCATCTCTGAGGGTCAATGTCAGTATTATAGTTCATGTCCCAGAGTGGTTTGCCCTGGCTGGCCCTGATGCTGTCACTACAGAGGCCCTGGAGGGGGCAGGGGTCCTCCTTGGGGCCCCAGTGCAGTCCCTGAGCCCTAAGATTTCATTACAAGAGGTTGTTCAGGTGCCATTGACCTTCAGGTTGACATGCGGGTGAGTGAAGAAAGTGCTCTCAGATTTGGGCCACAGTGAGATTGCACTAGTTTGTGGGTTTTTTATATCTCTTGACACTTATGTGTTAAAATACTGGTAGAGTACTTACCATATGGTAAAAGAAAAAGAATCAAGAGTGAGAAATTGAGAACTCTGCCATGTACGAGAAAATGAAAAAGACACATGACAAATAGCATCTCCCCATCACACTAAATGCAAATACACCCGAAGGAGACATCACAACAGTAGCTGTAACTGGCACATGGAATTCACGTTCAGATGACAGATGAGAACAACCACTTTCTAGAGTGGTTTTTGGAGTGAAAATTAATAATGTAAAAAATTAAAAATGCTGTGAGGAAACTACGAAAATGAAAAAAATTACTAGAAAAGATAATATGCAGACTTTTCTAGGAAGATGAGAAATGGTTTTAAGAAGCTGAATGAAATGAACAATTTCCTTAGAAAAATAAAACACATTACAATGGAACTACTTCACAAAAAGAGCATCAGGAGCAGTTAGTTGTGCAAATACACTAACTCATTCAGACACTGGATGTTTCAAATGTGTTTGATATATATGTATATTTATTTCCAAAATTTAGCAAATGGGAGCTTTCATGATTCTTATAGCAAGCAGGTATTACGGAGAAACCAACACCTGACAGGGAAAATACAAAAAAGGGAAAATTACAGAAAAAAAAACGCAAATTATTAATACAAATGTTCTAATCAAAATGCTAACAAAAAGATTCCAAAATCAAACCAGTAAATAGATACAGCATTGCCACAGCTGACTTGTTCCAGATATCCAACGTAGGTGCCATGTCAACAAGCCACTAATATAATACATCCTACTAATAGATCCAAAAATAAAATCATATGACCTCAGTAGATTCACGAAAAACCTTTGATCAAATTTTGAAATATATTTCTAGTAAAAACACACCCAGTGTGAACAGCAGGCACATTTGGGAACTCACACTCCCTCCTCACACACACAAGTGAGCCCCACACTCAGCACTCAGCTACTGAGGTGGGAGGACGACATTCCCACAAAGATCGGGCAATGTGACTTCACCTGCATTGTCATTCAACATCACTCAAGTAGTATTAACAATGTAGTTAAACAAGAAGAAACCCATGGTTGGATCGTAGCACTGATGGGAACAGCCACATGGTCATTCCCCAGCCCAAAAGGTCGGCCACAGCCCGAGGTGCTGCGGGGCTGGTCCAGCTGGGACAGAGGCCTCTCCCTGGGAGCTACAGGGACAGGGGTTCACAGTGAGGGCCAACAAGAGGATGGCAGCTCTGGAACATCCAGGAAAGAAGTCAGTGGTCACTGACAGAGACGCAGGACGGCCAGTCAGAGTTTGGGTCTGAAGTGACCAGAGATGGTGCCCCCATTCCAGCACCTGGGCTTCAGAGCAGAGCCCCTCTGTGTCCCCAGCTGACGGGAGCTGACTTCCTGTTCTGTCTGAGACCTGTTGTCCAGGTGGGGGCTGCATGAGGTGCTGTGAGGACAGGGGGTGGGGCAGGCACATTCATTCCCCAGGGGTTGCCCTGGAAGAACCTGGCCCAGGGTGGCAGAACCAGAAGCAGAAGCCACAGGTGTCCTGAGTGGCGCATGCTGGGATGTCCCCTTCCTGCAGATGAGAATGAGCTTCTCCTGGTCTCAGGTCCCACCGGCCTGCAGCTCTGTGTGAGCACAGAGGACACTGTCACAGGGTGGTTGTGAGAAGCAGTCTTGTCCTCAGCTCTCAGGCCAGTGAGAGTCAGGGACCCTGAGCTGCCAAAGCTGATGTTGGGAATGCATCATGGGCCACACAGGGTGGATCTGTCATAAGTGATGAGTAGGGGCCAGGCTCACTGGGGACACGTTGGTGACAGGCCACACTCTGGGCCTTCCTGATGTGCACTGATGTGGACACAGACAGGTTCCCTTTCCCTGGTTCTTGCTGACCCATCCATCGTGGGCTCTCTTCCCAGAACAGCCTTCCCTTGACACACAGGACCTTCCCCTCGTTTGAGAAAACTGCACAAGGTGTTCCTGCCACAGACAGGCCTCAGAGGCAGCGTTCAAAGGATGTGACACATGTTCCTGTCACAGTCCCCTGTGGAGGGTCTCAGACCTGTGTTCAGGCCAAACAAACCTAGAAAGCAGCTGTCTTCTCAGAGGAGTGGGGGCTGCACCGGGGAACTGCACTGCAGGGGACAGCAGGTTTTTGTCTCACTTCCCCACAGCCCACCAGCACTGTGGGAGCACTGCTACTACTGTCCCATGCTGTGCAGTAATAGTTGGCCTCGTCCTCAACCTGGAGCCCACTGATGGTCAGGGTGGCTGAGCTGCCAGACCTGGATCCAGAGAAGCGGTGGGGAATCACAGAGGGTCTATTGCTAGTATCATAGATGACGATTCTAGGGGATTTTCCTGGGGCCTGTTGGAGCCAGTACACATGACCACCACCACGCCCAATGTTGGTGCTGCTCCCAGTGCAGGAGATGGTGACCCTCTGTCCTAGGCTGCCTGACACTGAGGGCGGCTGAGTCAGCACAGCCTGGGCCCAGGATCCTGGAGGAGAGAGACACACAGAGATGGTGATTCTGGGTCCACAGACAGGAGCAGGAAGAAGATGCCCAGGTGTCCTCCCAAGGTCTCCTCCCCTGTCCCCTTATCCAGTCACCTGTGCAGTGAGCCAGGAGGGTGAGCAGGAGAGGGGACCAGGCCATGGTGGAGTCCATCCCTGAGTCCTGCCTTCTGTGGCCTCACAGCTGAAGCAGAGCCTCCCCCAAATCTCTCCCTTCCCCTCTTCATACTCTGAGAGAGGGAGGGCCCACTCATGCAAATGAGATCCCCCTTCCCCCTGCCACCCCCAGCACCTTACCACTGATTCCTAATCCCTCCCTGGGCCCTCTGTCAGGTACCTGTGCCTGGGGATGTCAGGGGGGTTAGGGGTGAGCCTGTGTGAGACCCGGGACGTGGCAAGGTTACAGCTGTGTGCCCTGAGCAGAGGACAGCAGACAGTGCCAAGTCACAGGTCCCAGCTCTGATGACCCCAGACCTTCAGGAGCAGCCCCTGATCGCCCCCTGGTGCCCAGACCTAGACACACCACTGTGTGACATGCTGGCTGAGTCCCATCACACACAGATCCTGTCTCCCCACAGCCCTATTCCCTGCACTGCTCCCTTAGGAATGGTCCCGGTGCCCCCTTATGGGGGGTCCCGATCACTCCAGGACACTTTCATGTCCTACTCAGACTCCTCAGGGTGAGTTGATCTACGAGTCCCTGGGCTGGTGTGTGGTCAGCACGGCGCTGCTGCTTTCACTCATGTCCTCTTCCCTGGAGCGGGGTCAGGCCCAGAGCAGTGACTGTCCCACAGTGTCATGAGCCCTATTTCAGGACAGTTTTGTTTGTATACTGTGACTCCTCCCTTGTTAGAAATTAATCTGTGTTCCTCCAAGGCACAAAAATAGTCTTTCAATGTATTTTCTCTCTTTCAGCAGACAATAAGTGTAGTATTATGCATATAATTTTAACCATGCTTTACTTAGTAAGTGGGAACTTCAGTGTTTTAGACATTGAATAAGTAATTCCCACTGGTCCCTTGTATATTGGAATGAGAGAAGATATCTGATTTTTGAATTAGTTTCTCTGATCCCAGCATCCTGGACACAGAAGGGGACAGTGACGGTGACAGTACCACCTGTGACCAGGACCTTGTGGGTGGGGATCCTCAGACATGACTTCAAGGTCACCAGGGGAAGCACTTTGGAAAGAAAACCAGAAGGGGATGCATCATGGATTGTGGGGCCCCAGGCCCAGGTGCTGGTCCTCTGGGACTGTCCTCACCTGAGGGAGGGGCAGGGGAAGCAGAGGCACCCAGGGGATGTGGGCCTGGCCACCATTGCCACTTGTCAACCTGCTTTCCCCGTGTGAGTCCTGCTGGGAAAAGAGGCCATACTTCGGACTTCCTGCCGCCTCCTCCCTTTCCCAGGAACAAGTCATTTCAGACCGTTCCTCACAGATGGGAGGGGGTGTGGCTCTCCTCAGAACTGAGCTTTTGGGGACATTAAAAATGTCGGGGGTCAGAGCTGCTCATTGGTGAGACTGGAACCACCTTGCCCGTTTCCCTGGTCAGTTTCCAGTGTCCACACACCCGACCCAACTGACCGATGATGAGGGTGGAAGGCAGAGTGACCCATGTGGTGGGACCAGTTGCAGAAACTGTCTGTCCTTGTTCTCCGATGGCTACCCAGGCCTGCCAGCCATGTGTCAGCCTGTGACAGACCCAGTTCCAACCCCAGGGACAGGCTTCACCTTCCCAGGATGAGTGGGACAGTCCCCTCCCTGGGCACAGTGAAGGTGTCAGGGTGCTGCTGTGAGGGATCTCGTGCAGGCCAGGGGTCCCGTCTGTTGGTAGCAGGGTCCCGTTGTCCTCACAGGGCAGGCTGCTGTGGGGCCAGATGCCTGGTAATGCCCAGGGGGTTCGCTCCCAGGACGAAATCAGCATGGTGTTACCGGGGTCAGTTAAACCTCAGAGAAAGTCAAAAACTAGCTATTGCTGCTATCTTCTGGAAAACAAACCTCCCTGAGTCACCACTGAAAGAGCAGGGCATTGTGGGTACAGTTTCCATCCCAGTGCTCACCTTGGGACTCAGCCACACTCACTTGCCTGAGACCTTCATCCAGGAGGCGTAGCTACTCCCCTCCCACCCAGTTTTAAGGAGCAACGTTTGCTTTCTCCCCACCTGGCCATCGTGCTGTGAGCGCCCATCGACCTTAACAATCAGACCCAGAGACCCCTGACACCCCCAGTGCTGTGCGGCTTGTTCCAGCTGCTGCGAGCCTGTCCTCAGCCCCTGTTCCTGACTTTCACTGGCCCCGCGTGCCCCACACCATCCTCCCCAGTGGCCATGACACACCTTCCTCTGCCAGGTTCCTGAACCCAAGGGATTTCCTACCTCTGTGCCCTCCCAGGTCCCAGCATCTTTACACCTATAGGCAATGCAGGATTCAAAGGAAGGCCCCTTGCATCATGGACCGATGGGTCAGGGCATCCCCCTGGCACGTGGCAGCTGCTGTCCTGGCCTCCTTCTCATCCCAGCTCACACCCGGCACCCTGCACAGGTCAGGGCTCTGGGGCTCTTCCAGGACCTGCAGGAACCCCCCAGATGCAGAGCTGTCCCGATGCACTTGCTGCAAGTGCAGGAGACAGTTCCCTTCTCATGGAGCCTGATGTCAGCTGGGCTTAAGGCAGCTCATCCGGGCCCCAGGCTGGGAACCTGGGACAGACCCAGGGAAGAGTGAGGACAGGGGTCCCAGAGTCCCTTTGCCACATGTGTGGGCAGAGTACCCTGCCAGTCCTCATCCTGGGCCATGAGAAGAGACCAGATGACGGGCTTGCCCAGACTCTGCTCCTGGGGGTCACGAGGATGCAGGTGTCTCGGCTCCCCTTCATCCCCAGATGGATGGGCTCTGCATTCTTGTCTTGCCCCCTCCCACAATTTTTGGGGTGCAAAGGGCACCCAGAGAGGACCAGCAAGGTAGCGGGGGTTAGTTTGATTATATGAATGCTTCACTCTTACTACTTTGCACTGAATATGAAGCCTTCTGCAGGAGAGGTGGGGGCCCTGGAGAGTAACCAGATCTGGGTGGGAGGAGGGGCAGAGGGGCTGCACTGGGCAGCCTGTGCTCTGGAGCTGGTCTGGGCCCGGGGCCCCAGGACGCTCCAGTCACTCCCACCAGTCAACCCCATGGGGCTGATCTACAAGGAGCAACTAAACAATAAGGGTTGTGGGGAGGGGGCAGGACCTGGGCATCCTTGGGAACCACTGTGGGACCCGCCTGCAACTTTGCCCCACGTGCTGGGACATTTTTATCCCACTTGAACCTGTCCTCAGAGCTGCATTCATTATAGTCATGCTCATACCTTAGGGATTTGCTCTGTGGGAAGTCCTAGGGCAGACCTTGGGACAGACACCAGCAAGGGCACATTCAGGGGCGCTGGGGGTAGATGGCAGCAGAAGGAAGAAGCACAGGGTGAGTGGGCTGCTGTCCTGAATGGGACTCAGAGAGGGGAATGACGTGACCCCACGGTGTGGGTTAAAACTCTGATGTGTTAGAGAAATGGTAACACAGTTCTTACGGTCACAGGTAGTCATGTTCTTACAGTCCCTCGTCACTCTACCCCATGACATCTGTCCTTTCCCTGGCTGGCCAGGGGCTCTGGGACCAGACAACCTTTTATTCAGTGAATCCCCACACATACCCTCGCTGTTGAGCAAACATCCTAAATCTGCCCGCTGCAGGGTCCCAGGCTGACAGTGCTTGTCGTAAGAGCAACTTTCTGACACCCTACAGACCCTGATCCTGTGCTCCGTCATTATAGCCACCCACTGCGGCAGGTCTGACGTTCCTAGGAAACACGTATTCTCAGGAGGAGGAAGGAATGTTCGCATGTTCTGACTACGCAGCCCCCCTGCCTGTGTCTGTGACACGGAGACCAACGCTGTGCAGGGACTGGGTGCGTCTCAGGATGAGCAATAAATTTACCAACAGCTTCTCTGTGCAAGTGAAACTGGAAAAGACAGCAGACCTCCTGCTGCCTGTCACTACCAAACCCAGTAACCAGAGGCAGAGATTGAATCTCTATGGGCGCTTTATTCAGATGGCCAGCGATCTGAGAAGAGGGCGGGTTCCCACCCGGAAAGACCCTGCTCACGTTTTCTTTCCAGGCCAATGTTTTTATAGCAGGGAATAAACAAGGTGTGGTGAGGGGTTTTGAAATTCAAGGAGAATTGGGTGAAAGAAACTGAAACATTCTTGTCCTGGGCAGTTAGCTGTCCCCTGGGGCAGGTGGTCCTCTGTCTCTCCCTGGAACTCAGTGGCCCGCATGCCTCCCCTTGTCCCCAGGGGTGGTCCTCAGCAGTGCCCCAGGAGGTCGGCAGTTTCTCCCAGGGGCCAGGATGGGCCTTCTCTGTATCTTCTGAAACAAAAGCTTTAACATATGCATTACTCACTAGCTTTATAACGATGTACCTTAAACTAACATATTCCAAATTCTGAGTCCCCTCTCACAAGTACTCAAAGGTGGATGGTTGCATCTTTTTAAAGAATCAGTAATTCTATTGTCATGTTACAGAGATTGGCTGTGGGTGGTGGAGAGTGGACGACACACCTGGGAGATGAGAGTAGGAAACACTTAGGACGGGAACTCAAGCTGGTCTACGGGGTTCACCATCCTCCCCAGACACAGAGCCCTGGGGAATGAAACTCCAGCAAGAACTTGTCCTTCTTCCTGGAAATGAACGTGGAGATGGAGTTCAATCCTGCAGAGCGAGAGGGACAGAGGAGAGGGTGTGGGAAGCAGCAGCGGAGCAGAGGAGGGGAGGGCGGTGTGCAGAGCCTGGTCAGTGCGCGTGTGCAGGACCCAGGTCCCTTCACCTTGTGGGCTGCTCCGGGGACAGAGGGAACGGTGTCTATGACTGGGATCAGTGTTGACATATCACTGTGGATGTGTCATTAGCAACACAATATTGTCACTTTAAGGTATAACATGTGTGTGCTCAACACGACTGTCTTTCTTCTTTTTTCCTTTTTTCATCCTCACCTGAGGACATACTTATTAATTTTAATGTGAAAGGAAGGGAGTGATAGAGAAAGAGAAACATTAATGAGAGTTGGAAACATGGGCGGGTTGCCTCCCCACTTGCCCTGGACAGGGACCCAACCCACAACCCAGGCATGTGCCCTGCGGGGAAAACAATCCCAGACTCTTTGATTCTTGGGACAACACTACAGCCACCTGCACCACAGCAGCTGGGGAAACACTTCTGTCTTCATCACCATTTGTAGTTGCAGACACTGTGTTCATTTGTTACCTCACTCCGACCCTGTGGGCATGGACAGCGGGGCTCCACCACCTCACCACTGTGAGACCCTGGACTGGACTGTGCTCCCAGACTGAGTCACTCATTCCTGTTCAAGAACAGGACCAACGAAGGCGCGCCCCCTGCAGGCACCTCCATGCAAATATCTCAATACAAGATGCTCAGACACAAGGTCTTCAGGCCCAGGGGTTTTTGTCTCACTTCCTCGTCTTCTGAGCCACTGTGAGTAACTGATGCTGCTCTCACTCTGATGAGCTGTAGCACAGTAATAGTCGGCCTCGTCCTCAGCCTGCAGCCCAGAGATGGTCAGGAGCCCTGCGTTGGCAGAGGTTTCTTTGGATCCAGAGAAGCGGCTGGGGACCCCGGAGACTTGATGCTTTTGTGAGTCTGAGTTGAACACCAGGAGATACCGGGGAGGACTCCCTGGCTTCTGCTGCAACCAGGCTATAGCATAGCTGCCAACACTGAAGCCACTGCTGAGGGTGCAGGTGAGTCTGGCTGTGGCTCCAGGAGATGCAGAGAGGGAGGGCAGCTGAGTCAGCACAGGCTGGGAGAGGGAACCTGCAAACACAAGTATTAATGGATGAAGAGGCAAGAACCCAAGTAAATGATCTGGGGTTTTTGAGTAATATTGGCCAATGCCCAGGATCCCAAAGTCCTGTCCCTACCTGTGCAGTGAGAGAGGAGCATGAGGAGGAAAGGGGTCCAGGCCATGGTGCACATAGCCCCTGAGCCCACAGTGGGGCTGGGCTGCCCAGGCCTCCTTTTCTCCCCATCTTCTGCCAGAGGAGGGGCCGTCCATGCAAATGTGTGTCCATCCAGGGACTGCCCAGCCCCTCCCTGAGCCCTGGAGCGAGAGCTCAGCTCATACCCCAGACAGACAAGGGTGGAGGTTATCCTCACCCTTTGGTAGAGCCCATGGAAGAAGCATCTGCTGAGACAGCCAATGGTTAATGCACAGAATAGGCCAGACCCGAGGGGAGACATAGACAGACATAGCTGCCAAGTCCCCATCAGGAGCGCTGGGCCCAGCCCCCAGACCCTGGCGCCCTTGAGTAAAATATCCTCACTGAGCAGCTGTGTAGGGAACACAGTGCAGTCCCACACTGCCACCTGCTGGTGACAAGGCACATCTGACTCCTTGGACCAAAGCCCTGAGAGCCCAGCTGCTTTCTGCAGCTCAGCAGGTCACTGACTCTGTTCACACATCCAGGGGTTGGTTTCCAGATATCGTGACTCTGATCACTGTTCACATAGTGCAGTATCTCACTCCCAGGGGTTCTTTCAGGTGCAAACATGTACTTATATGATAAAGCAATTCGTTTCCATCCCCACTGAAGATGTGGCACAGCACATACACAGGGAGCTTCCTGTCCCACATTACAGGTGATGCACAGCTGATCCAGTTTGAAGGGCTCACAGGGGCTGCTCAGGAAAACGACACATAAGAGGGTTTCCCAGGACTGCAGTCAGTAGCATATTCAAAAATGAACTATTAAGGAAATATTTTAATACATGGGATGCATTTGCAGTTTTTATGCAAATCTAATTTAATTTAGCATGTAACTGGTGAAAAGCAATGGATTTAGTGGGCTTAATATTTACTAGTGGAGAGTGTAGACTGCTCTTTATTTGAGAAATTGACTGAATAGTCTTATGTTTGCAGTGTTCTCCTTTTCTGTGTCACATGTTTCTTGCCAGAATTCTGTCTTAGGTGCCCTAAAATTAGTTTATATTTCAAACAAAGTGTTCTTGCAGCTTCTTATTCATTCTCTTATTTTAGTAACAAGCTAAATGTGAGTTTTTGATGTGTTCGCAGCTGTGCTGAGTGTCTGGGCAGTTGGAGGCAGAGACCAGCATGACCCTCGGACCCAGCTCCACCTCGGTTGCACCTGTGATCACGGTCCTATGGTCCCACACGTCTAGATTCACAGGAATCCTAGTCAATGACTCTGACCAGAGTCACTTGCTCACCTTGGGCACTGTGTCCTCAAGACACTCGAGGTGTCTTTCTCATGCAGCTCAGGAACATCACCCCTGCTCAAAACCCTCAGGGGCTCCCCACTGCTATTTGCACAGAACCCCAGTTCCTGAGGTCTGCCCAGGGGCCTCCATGGCCTGTCCCCCACCACCCATGGCTGTCAGCCCACCTGTGGCTCCTGAACAGCAAACTCCCTGACATCTTTGTAGCTGGAAAACCATGGACTCCAGTTTTTCCTATGGTCTCCATCCAAGTCCAATTCTTCTCTGTCAGTGGGGAAATGTGGGCTTAAATGTTAGATTACATAGAGAGAAAACACAACTTTTGGCAACTTTCAGTTTTTCTTAATGACAGGACATACACACACCATCATGCATAAAAAGAGAGAATTTAAATATATATATATAGTTATATAATTTTATATATGTAAAGTGAGAATTTTGAACTTACAAAACTTATAAAGAATAGTTCACAAAACCACCTGTCTCTACTCAGCATCATCCACAGGGCCCTCCTGCCTGTCTGCCCTCCTCCGTGACTGCGGCCCACCCCGGCTGACTGTGAGAGCACACCACTCGAGAGCGCTCCGTCAGACCGTGCATCTGCTTATGTGCATGTACAGATGCCCTGAAACCCTTGCACGTAAAAGCAATGGATTACAACTACTCTCATGAACGTATGTGTGTTGTAATTCACTCAGAGGAGCCCAGACTGGCTGGAAGGTTGGCCCAGAGCAAGCACAGAGAGGTTTGGGAGGATGACTGGTTCCTTATTAAAAGGGCAAGGTGCTTCCTACGCCTCAGATAACATAATGCCAGGGCACAAAGAGTTCTCTCTCTCTCTCTCTCTCTCTCTCTCTTGCCTGGTTCATGCACAAGTTCTCTCCATGGTGACATTTGGGTCCAGCAGCCAGTCAGGGCCCACAGCAGGCCCCATAGATCCAAAGGATGAACCTTCCATACGAAACAGAAATGCTGGACACTGGCCTGTGTTCCAGCCTTGCTGAAGCCACAGCCGAACATTTTCCATGGTGGGACAGACGGACGTGTGACACAGCAGCAGCCTTCTACTTCTACCTGAATAAATCTTGTCACCCCACAGTCCCCCATGAGTGAGTCCGAGAAGTGCTTTTCTCAGGGTCCCGTGAAAGGACACGATTTCCGCCGGCAGCAGGAAGGGTCACTGGGTTCCCTGGGGTCACACCTGCTGCACGCAGGCCTCTCCTGCCCCCGCTCAGCACTTCGGGAATGTTTCTCTCTGGAAACAGGGCAGTTCTGCTTGATTTGGGAGAACCGAATTTTGAAACAGATATTTTCATTGACACCGTAAAGATGAACAGATTTGAGGGAATGAAACCTTTCTGTGTTAATAGAACAAGTGACAGCAGAAGCAAACTCCTGAGCTGGTGTTGGTCACAGGGAAGGACAAGGCACCGATGAGCCAGGCAGAGGCCAGGAGGGCAGGTTCACCCCTTGTCCCCGTGGGGCAGGAGAGCTGTGTGGCATCGGCTGGTGTTCAGCTCTGAACCGGTCATCACCAGCCTCTCCCATGGCTGCGACCCAAAGGTGGTCAAGAGGTTCTGGTGACAGCACTGAATTCGGAGAATGAGACTCAAACCCAGGAAGGTTCTCACAGCACGTCCAAGACACAAATATGGGGGCTCCACCTGGGAGGCCTTCGGAACATTGCCATAGTCACCCCCCATGTGTCTGCTGCTTCCTGTGCAGGAGAAGCTCACCTGGGGTCTGGGCTCATCAGCAGCTTCATGGGGGAAGAAAGACAGACACACACTGGGGACTTCCTGCTCCTGATTTTCTGCAGCCCAGCCCACAGCCTGGATGGCTGGGGAGCCCAGGGAAGTGCGAGAGGACAGGGGGACAGTCAGTGCCTGTGGGCTCAGGAGAACCCACTGAAAGTCATGAGGTCCCGAGTCATGGAGGGCACCCAAGGGCCCAGAGTCCAGGGTCAGGCTGAAGGGCCTGGGGCCGTGGGGATGTGGAGGAAGTACCACAGGATTCACATGTATGGCATTAATTTGTGGGTGGCAGTCACTGTCTGGGTCATCACAGGTACTTGCAGACACAGTATTATGAGATAAGAGAAAATATATATTGGTCTCAGCCTCCTGCCCTTGAAATTTCCTGAGTGACAAGTTTTCCTTTTGTTCTAATGCTGTGACTCTGGGTGGGCTCCTGGGGGAGGACTGCTCACTCATAGACAGAGGCAGGATGCAAAGCCTGAACTTTTCAGACCTGCCCCCCATTTCCTTGAGGAAGGAGAAGGGCTCAGGTGGAGTCAGCAAACTAACTGAAACCTCGGGAGGGACCCGGGAACCTGGGAGTTACAGCCAAGGCCATGAGTGAAACCAGGGGACGTCCTGCTTGTGACCGTCACCTGAGGAGCGGTCAGTCCCATGGGACAGAGCCCTTCACTGCGGCTCTGACACCATCTCCAGCCAGTCGTGTGGGAGCTGAGTTGTGTGGTGGGACATCCAGCTGGTGCAGGGAGAACTGCTTGTTGTGAAGAAATACCCCCGATACATTTGGTGACCAGATGTGACAAAAGTGAAGGGTTTTGTGTGAGTACAAAAGAAGACACAACAGTGCAGAAAAACTGTGATTTTTTTTCTTAAAAATATTAATTTTGTTAAAATTTACTCCAACACTGTGGGGACAACACTGTCAGGCTTTGTCACCCCTTCAGCGAGAGTGACCCGGGACGCCCTGTGCTCTCACTCATGACTGTGTGCTGCTCCGCCCCCTTCCATGGACGTTTCTGACTGCAGAGGCCCCCACAGAAGCTCCCGTGACGCTCAGAGCATAACCTCTGGGCCCAGGGGTTTCTGTCTCACTTCCTCGTCATCTGAGTCACTGTGAGAGATGGAAGCTGCTCCCACTGCCATGCTCTGTAGCACAGTAATAGTCAGCCTCGTCCTCAGGCTGGGCCCCCGTGATGGTGAGGACGGCTTTGTTCCCAGAGATGGATCCAGAGAAACGCTCAGGGACCCCAGAGGGGCGGTTGTTTGTGTTGTAGATGAGCATGCGGGGAGCCTGGCCTGGGGTCTGCTGGAACCACTTAGGGTAGTGACTATTGGAGACTGACCCAGAGCTAAGGCCACAGGTAAGCGTCACTGTCCCTCCTGGAGACACGGACAGTGATGGCTCCTGGGTCACCACAGCCTGAGCGCTGGACCCTGAAATGAAAACAGACACATGAGGAATAAGGAAGGACGGCAGAAGGTCCCTTCCAAAGCTGCTCTCTGAAATGTCCACGAACCTGGGCAGAGGGTGAGGAGGAGCAGGAGCAGGAGAGGAGTCCCGGTCATGGTGCCAATGTGTCCAGGACACTCTGGCCCCACAGCTGACACTGGACACTCTGGCGGCTCCTTTATTTCCCTCAGCTCCCTGGAGGGAGGGTTTGTGTTTGGGTCATGCTTGATGCAAATCTCAGCTCTTTATTTCCCCACCCTCAATTTCGTGTGTCCTCACCCAGGGCCAGCTCTACTGTCGGGAGTCAACGGCTGGCCTGCCTGTGGGCTGTGAGTTGGTCCCCTGGGAGGAAGCACCTGCTGTAAAATATACCTCAAGCCCCAGAGCTGGTTGCCTTCACAGTCATTAAATCTGAATTGACTGCAGGCCTTGTTCACCTCAAGTGGACCCACAGCACCCCCTAGTGACAGCCTCAGAAAATAATACCTATAGTGTGAATTATACAGAGCAAATGTTGTATTTCTTTCAAATATGTTGTAAACTTTGAACATCCCACTTTATTGTCCAGGTATCACCAGGCTCATGGTCTTCTGTCTTTGTGAATACTTGTTGGTTCTTTTCCTCCCCAATTCCTGAATTCAATGTAACTGTTAGTCTGTTCTTCAGTCTATCTAGTGGGGTTTTAGTCACCGAGTGTCATTTTTATTTCCGTAAATTCCCTTCCATTTGAATTTATAATGTATATCTCATTTGTGACGTTCACTCCCTTTTCACTTGTTTAAACGATGACCACAATTGTTGTCAAGGTAACTGCATGATTGTCTCTTAAAATCCGTGCCCCATGATTTCCACCTCTCAGTCTTCTCAAACCAAATTCGGGTCCGTCTGCCAGTTGCTATGAAGCCAATACTGAAAAAGCAAGTGCTGCTGGAGCCACATGGCTGCTATGAAAAGGAGTGAGAACATGTTACCGGGAGAGAGAGTCAGAGAGAGAGAGAGAGGGAAGGAGTCTTTTTAAAATAGGGATTACCGTATTTTCCATGTAAAAGCACACCCATGTTTCTGTGGCCATTACTAACTGTGTTATTATACCCAATATTATACCATGGTATGTTACCATCATACCTGTGTATAATGACCATCCTTATTTTTTCCTCAAAAATGTGGGCAAAAAAATGTGCATTATACATGGCAAATACAATACATTATCTTGGGCTTGGGAAGGACCAGGCACCTTTCCAAACTAACCAATCAACTTCCCAAGCTTTCCTGGGCTGGCTCAGACCCTCCCCTTAACCAATCCATTTCCTGGATAACCCAGGGTTCTGTGTCCCACATCCAATCCAATCCTTTTCCCAGGCTGGACACTCCTCTGTCTTAGTTCCTACTGCACATGCTGCAAAGTGGAAGCAACCCCCACCCTACGCCATCTTGCCCTCTACTGGGCAAGTGCCCACCAGAGGAATTTCTTCAGGTGTTTTATTCCTCCCCGGGTAATGACCAGCAGCAATCCTTCCTGCCCACTCTGTGGATTTAGAAGTCACCTGGGAAAGGAGTGGAGCTGTAGCTTGCTAACACAGCAGGCCCAGTGTCTGATTCCTCTCCACAGCCCATTAGGTTCAGCAATGTCTGATGCCATTGGCTCCCTTCCTTGATCAGCATCTGGTTACTGATGCTAACACAGCAATGAGATAAAGACAGACAGAGAATGCAGAGGTGGACGTGCAGAAGGAGAGAGAGACAGACAGAGTGAGACAGGGAATGAGCCCAGGAGAGAGTGGACCTGTGCAAGTCAGGCTTCTCATAACCACACTGAATGGCCCCTTATCACTTTGTCCTACTCTGTGGTTAGAAAACAGTCAGAAAGTCCATCCAACCTCAAAGCAGAGGGGATCACACAGGGTGGGGGAACACGAGGGGGGAACACTGGGAGCCATCTCGGGGCTCCCAGCACACAGGCCACAGGAGGCACTTGGCCCTGAGTCTGTCCACACTGGAGCCCTGGAAGGTTACCCGCCCGAGGGATGATGTTGGAATTTCAGGTCTTTTCAAACTTCTCAGGTGGCTGGGATGCAGGCAGGAGGATCTGTGAGTGCCCCTTGATCCAGAGCAGACCCGGTCTATTTGCACTGAGTTCTGTGCTCTGCCAGCCTCCATGTGTCCCTCCCACTGCCAAGCCTGTGCTTGAGTCCTGAGCATCCTCCCTCAAGGTGACAAGCACCTCAGGTTTTTATAGCGCCACATACGCCTCAAGACACAATAGGAGGGAGATGCTGGAAAGCTCTCAATCACAGACTGGGAAACTAAGACATCTCGAGAAGATATAACTGGTTTAGGGTCCCCTCACTGCTGAGAAGGAGGAGTCTCATGCCAGGTCTGTGTCCTCAAAGCTGAGGCTCTGGCTGCACCCAGGTCCCCCCAGGGCTAGAGGTGGGTGTGATTTCACCTACGTTGTCACTCAACATCACACGGGTAGTATTAACCTGTAGTAGTAGTAGTATGGGGCCAGTGCAGCTGGGACAGAGGCCTCTCTCTGGGAGCTACAGGGACAGGGGTTCACAGTGAGGGCCAATGACAAGGTGGCAGCTCTGGAACATCCAGGAAAGAAGTCAGTGGTCACTGACAGAGACGCAGGACGCCCAGTCAGAGTTTGGGTCTGAAGTCACCAAAGATGGTGGCCCCATTCCAGCACCTGCTCTTCAGAGCAGAGCCACTCTGTGTCCCCAGCTGATGGGGAGCTGACTTCCTGTTTTGCCTGAGACCCGTTGTCCAGGAAGGGGCTGTGTGAGGTGCTGTGTTGACACATCCATTCCCCAGGGACTGCCCTGGAAGAAACTGCCTTTGGTGGAAGCACCAAAACTAGAAGCCAGAAGTGTCCTGAGTGGGACAGGCTGGGACGTCCCATCCCTGTAGATGAGAACAAGCTTCTACTGGTCTCAAGTCCCACAAGCCTGCAGCTCTGTGTGAGCACAGAGGACACTGTCACAGGGTGGCTGTGAGAGGCACCCTTGTCCTCAGCTCTCAGGCCAGTGGGGGTCAGGGACCCTGAGCTACCAGAGCTGATCCTGGGAATGGATTGTGGGCCATTCAGGGTGGATCTATCCTGAGTGATGGGCATGGTGGAGGTCGAGATGGGACAGGTTGGTGATAGCCCACACTCTGGGCCTTGCTGATGTGCACTATGTGGACAGGGAACATAGCCGAGTTCCGTGTCCCTGGTTCTTGCTGACCTGTCATCATGGACTCTGTTCCCAGCAAAGCCCCCCCCCCCCCCGTGACACACAGGACCTTCCCCTCAATTGAGAAAACCACAGAATGTGTTGCTGCCACAGACGGGCCTCAGAGGCAGCGTTCAAAGGATGTGACACATGTTCCTGTCACAGTCCCCTGTGGAGGGTCTCAGACCTGAGTTCAGGCCAACCAAACTGAGAAAGCAGCTGTCTTCTCAGAGGAGTGGGGACTGCACCGGGGAACTGCACTGCAGGGGACAGCAGGTTTTTGTCTCACTTCCCCACGGCCCTGCAGCACTGTGGGAGCACTGCTACTGCTGTCATAGGAATGGCAGTAATAGTCGGCCTCGTCCTCAGCCTGGAGCCCACTGATGGTCAGGGTGGCTGAGCTGCCAGACCTGGACCCAGAGAAATGGTTGGGGATCCCCGAGGGTCTACTGCTAGTATCATAGATGACGGTTTTAGGGGCTTTTCCTGGGAACTGTTGGGACCAGCCCACACCATAACCACCCCCAATGTTGGTGCTGCTCCCAGTGCAGGAGATGGTGACGGTCTGTCCTGGGTTCCCCAACACTGAGGGCGGCTGAGTCAGCACAGCCTGGGCCCAGGACCCTGGAGGAGGGAGACACACAGAGATGGTGATTCTGGGTCCACAGACAGGAGCAGGAAGAAGATGCCCAGGTGTCCTCCCAAGGTCTCCTCCCCTGTCCCCTTATGCAGTCACCTGTGCAGTGAGCCAGGAGGGTGAGCAGGAGAGGGGACCAGGCCATGGTGGAGTCCATCCCTGAGTCCTGCCTTCTGTGGCCCCACAGCTGAAGCAGAGCTTCCCCCACACCTCTCCCTTCCCCTCTTCATACTCTGAGAGAGGGAGGGCCCACTCATGCAAATAAGACCCCCCAATTTCTGATCCCTCCCTCGGCCCTCTGTCAGGTACCTGTGCCTGGCGATTTCAGGGTGGTTTAGGGGTGAGCCTGTGTGAGGCCCAGGGCGTGGCAAGGTCACAGCTGTGTGTCCTGAGCAGAGGGCACCAGGCAGTTCCAAGTCACAGGTCCCAGCTCTGATGACCCCAGACCTTCAGGCACAGTCTCTGAGCACCCCCTGGTACCCAGACCTAGCCACACCACTGTGTAACATGTTGCTGAGGCCCATCCCAGATAGACCCTGCCTCCCCACAGCCCTGTTCCTCCACCTGCACCCTTAGGGGTGGTCCTGATGCCCCCTTATGGGGCCTCCCAGTCACCCCAGGACACTTTCATGTCCTGATCAGACTCCTCAGGGACAGTCAGTTCACACGTCCGTCAGCTGATCTGTGTGGTCAGCACCTTGCTGCTGCTTTCACTCAGGTTGTCTTCCCTGGAGCGGAGTCAGGCCCAGAACAGTGACTGTCCCACAGTGTCATGAGCCCTATTTCAGGACAATTTTATTTTTTACTGTGATTCCTCCCCTGTTAGAAATTAATCACTCTTTCTCCAAGGCACAAAAAATAGTTTTTCAATGTCTTTCCTTTTTTCAGCAGACATTAGTATTTTTTATGCATATAATTTTGGCCAAACTTTACCTATGACCTGGTGTGGGGGAGGTTTGCCTGAGTCTGCAGAGACATGATCTTCTTGGGGAGGAAAGGTGGCCGATCTCTGAAGGAGAAGGACCTGGAGCCAGTTCCTCAATGGGCTTTTATTGGGTTTATTTGCACAAAAATACAAGACCTCTACGTAATGCTCATCAATCATTGTCAGGCAATAATAATCCAACAATAGATAACATTCAAAGAAATATGAGGGCTTAATTTGAGTCAGGGTCAGATAGCTAAAGGGCCATAAAAGTTTGGGGAAACTCCTTCTATGTTTGGACCCTTATTTAAATTGTGGGTATTAGCAAAGTAGGTTTCATAGGATTTTATGCATTCCTTCTTAGGCCTGATCTCCCCAGAAAACC